CATGTTGCCGACAGAGTACTGCAGGCGTGACAGATGAAATGTGATCATGATTTGGCATCTTCTGGTTGTGTTCTTTACCGTCTTGTGCTTGTTTTTTTCCTTTCAATGTCTTCTAATAATAAAAACTATTGTAAGCTAAATGTCTAAACTCAATTAAATTGGAAAACCTGTAAAACTAATGACTAATGGCCTTTATTGTTTCCTCTTGTCTAGTTCATTTTAAAGGATGCTCTTTGTACAACTGCTTATACCGAGACATTTTCATTAGGTCTGAAAATTTGCTGAAATACGTCATTACAACCAATCGCAAATCTAAGTTCTTCTCTTCATTTTGCCAAGCGACCTTAAAGAATGGGATAATCTCCCAAAAATCAGATGAAAGACATAAGGAGACTTACAGCGCCACTCACCCAGGCAGAGTTTGTGCTGATTACACTGTCACAGCTCCCTGCACTGTCCATGTTACTCAGTGACTCCATGGCAACGTTGCCTGGCCATGTGCCACTCTTCGACATTGCACGAAGACGCGCGTTAGTGCTGGAGCTATGTGTCACTATCCAGCCTTGCTTGTGTAAATCTCACTCGAAGCCTGTCTGGGAGAGAATCTGTAAAGTCGAGAAGAAGACGACAAGCAAGTGTTTAAGAAACTTCCAGAAAATAAATGGGAGCATGAGGAATAAACCTTAGGTGAACATGCTAAAGAAGGATCTCAAGACATCAACCAGGAAGTTAAAAGCAGAGTGTAAATCTGTCTTTCAAACAGACAAGGGAATATACAAACAAATCAGTTACAAACTGGCTTAAACACAACGAGGTCAGTCATTTGGAGTGGCAATAACAAAGCCTTGACACTGGTCCCAAAGGAAATATGTGGACAGAAATTAAAAAGTTATGACGCGAGTTCTGTCAGGAAGAGATTGTGGAAAAAAACCCTAAAAGTTTTGCACTCATTCACAAATAAAAGTGCTTTTAGTAGTCCTTACTGGGCTAAAGCAGGAAATTTAGTTAACGAAAGATGGCGATAAACAGTGGTGAAGAGTATTTTTATAGAGTGTAAGTGAATAAGTGGTTTAAACTGCATCTATTAAATAATAATAAACATGGGCCGGGAGGCTAAATATAGCCAGCATATTAGTACATTTAAAGGCACGATTTCATCAAAGTGATAAATGCCACGACAATCCTACTGACAGCTCAACAATCTTCATAATGTAACAACTGTCTTGAAATGTATCCCCTTATGCCAATGAGATCGTTAAATAAAAATAATAGCTAAAGTAGAAAACATTTGCATGGAAAGCAGTGTTTGCATTTAAATAAAACATTAACAAGATAGTCGGTCACCATGAAATGCAAACATTTCAATTGATTTTATCATGTAGTGAAAAGCAATTTTTGGTAAAACTTTAAACTTCTACGGTCTGTTAGACGTACAACATCTAATTTACTAGTCAAAATAACTGGATGTTTTCTGTAAAGAATGGAGAACCTTGTAAAAGTGTTCATACACAAACTTCAATGCAGTTTACTGACGTTTGATTTAATAAAGGAAACAGAACATTCTAAATATTTTCTAGGTAGATCAAATTGTAATTATGACATCATAAGGCAAGAAGTGGATTTTATTTACAGGCATCAGAGTAAAAAGTTATTCAAATCCTACACGCGAATCTATGTGAAACCCTTGAATAAAGCGGGTTTCTACCATAAAATGTTCACATTCATAAGTGACAATTTGAATGAACCACATTTACATTTTTCATGTGGTACATGCGATTTTCACATGTGAAATTCATTTTTTCTGTAAAGTAAATGAATCTATTACTGCATTTAGATCACAAACTTCGCCTCTAGTGGAATTTTTTTAAACCTGCTCTTGAACCTTTTTCCTCCCTCTTTTCAAGAAAACCTGAAATTCTGGCTTAAAATTGGACATGCAGCAGAGGACACGATTGAACACAGTCATAATTCAAACATTTTTTGATTAAGTGCTACTAGACTAAGAATAATGAAAAGCTCTGACGAGACATGAAACAGTGCACTGTGAGTCATGTATAATTTATGCAAAGATAACTAATGTGCTGTGTAGTGCTGCAGAATGTTTCTCTGCTTCCTTGATGTCACTTCAAGCAACTACTTGGTGTTGACAGACCAGTCACGAGGAAGGCATGCCTGACAAAAACAATACACCCAGTCGTGATTTACTAAAAGGCTACCAGGATGTAATAAAAACCTTTGACCTGAAAAAGAAGCTAAAAGTTATGTACTAACAGTTTTACTTGAGTTTTCACTTTAACTGCATCAGTAAAAACAGCACATAGTCATTAGATAAATAGAACGTAATGTACTGTAAACGACGTTGTTGCACCCGCACACAGGTTTCAGGCGGCGCTCGCCCAAGTACAGCAAAAATGCCTTTTATTGTTCTCTTATCTCAGAATATTTGAGTAACTACATCGAGCCAGCAGAAATGAAGATTGCACACATGCTTTGTTTTCCACAAGTTTGCATGGCATGGATGCAAGATAAGATTTTTTATTAGTCTCTCATAGGAGACATTTGTCTTGGAAGCAGGGGCAAGACTGCAGTATTTAAAAACTTTTCTGACACAATAATGTAGAAAACATGCATCATTGAGTGCTGAAGTCATTCATATCACTAGAAAGTTGGGTGGAGGAGAAGATGCATCAAGTACAGGGATAATGGCAGCCTGGTGAGAATTCTAGTGTAAATCCGCTAACATTTTTTAGAATAGATTCACAAGGTGTATACCACGGACGTATACAGAACATGGGATGCGCCTGTCATTGAGATAAGGTTTCTTCTGAACAAAAGACAACATTAGAGGCATCTGAAGGCTGCTAGCAAAGCAACTCTACAACTCAGCAGGCCCACAGGCTAATTCCTTCCATGCCATACTGCATTGCTGCAGCAATTCATACAAAAAGAGGTCCACCCAAATACTAAGTGCATAGAAATGCAGACACTTTTTTAGAAGTCTGACATTTTTGTTTAAAATAGTATTTTTTATTTATCTTTCAATTTTTCGAGACCCTGAATTGAGTTTTTAATCGTCTGTAATCCACAATCGTGGAAATTTACACGGAATACAAGCTAGTGGACAAATTTTAACAAGGATCATATTGTTTACTGAACGGATAGGAAGTGGTTGATCCACGGGGAAGTACCTTATTTTACGAGATAGTAGAAAAACTAATTTGCAAATCTTGTTGTTTTACTTGCAAATCCTAACTAAAACATTGCAGGACACCAGAATGGCTTCTCGTATTCTGGAAGTGCTGGCATAAACAGCTAGCTAATAGGCAGCTGGGGAAAAAACCTGATCTTCAAAAAACGCCCACATTAAGAAATGTTTTCTGAAAACATGAGGGGGTTGACTAAACACATATCGGTCTCAGTGTGAAAGCTTCAATAGCTGCTAATTACTGTCCCTCCCATTAGGACATTCAGATGAGAAAATGCAGGACAGAACCAACTGGCACAACACCTTCCAGGGCAGAACAGGAGGAGAAACCTGCAGCGCAACAGTGGCACCCACAGCTGAATCAGACCTCATGGTGTCAGGAATGTCACTCTACTTGCTTCCTTGGCTCCGAGACAAATCTGATTCAGCCAAGGACTCTGATGTGACTGGGTCTCACAGTTCACCTGCAGAAAAAAACTCCTACAACTATTTGAACTAAAATGGGATAATCAGCAGTTTCCATCAGTACATTTTGTGAGCCAGACTTATTAAAACCCCCAGTACCATAAATTACAGTCTCAAACAGGCAAAACTGCGAGCGTGGTAGTACACGAAAGGTCCAAAAAATGTTAAGTATGTTTTCAATGGCAGAAGGTCTGCTTGAACTGGTTAATGGTTACACCATTAACCAGGTTGCAAAGGGTCAGGGGCAGCGCCACACTGAGGAGCTTAAGCCTGCAGGAGTGAATAGAAATAGTTCATTAATGTTTAGCTTGGCAGCCATCCGTGCTGAGAAGCTTTTATTTACTTTAATGGGCAAATATTAGCACTTCTTCCTCAATCAATATCCACTAAAGCACACACACAAAAAAAATCTATAATAAAACGAAGTGATATCGACGCACCATAACAAAGGATACTGCTTTAGTTTTTAAAGTCTCCCTACGAAAAGTGATAAAACAAACCTCATCTGTAACGAGAGAAAATTAAAACAGCTCCCACACAGAAGTCTATTTTTATAAACTCATACGTAAGTACTAGTGGTTTTTAATAGTCTAAGCGCTCTTTTCTTTCATGCTCATTCGCACATAAAAGAAACGCGTCACATCAGGAAAATGTCCCAATAACTTACCTGAGGGCGCACAGAAAGTTTTGAATTCCGCCGCAACGTCGGTCCTCTTTGTCCTCACAGACACACACACAGCTGTTGTCCACTCTCAGTCCATAGCCGATATAAAACCTCGCACAGGTGGGGGCTGTTCCTGGAAACAAAACTGCGCAAGGAGCTGACCGTACAGGTGTGAAACCACCTCCAGGACTACAGACAGGTGAGGCATCAACTTCCGTATATGGTGGGGAGGGACCAATCAGAGCACGGCTCCCGAGCCGTTTCCAAGGTGACAGCAGCGGCAGGCAAATGAGCACAACCCAAAATTGGCCAAATGCATTTATGTGGAATCAGATTTTTATTTATGTTAATAAACACAGAAAGTGAATTTTACGAAAACATAATTCAATGCTTTTTTATTTTATTTTAATATGTTTGCAGGCAAACCGTTTTGTGGTTGTGTCATTGTGTCATTTAATTTTATTTTGTAGAAAATTTGTCATTGATGCACCATCAAAACATAAACTCACTGGTCACTTTGTGGACAAGTGTTGGACCACCTTGTGCCATCAAATCTGCCTTAAATCCTCTTGACGGCGATTTAACACAGTGAGGAGTTCTGGTCCTTTTTGACATCATAGCATTGGACAATTACTATTGTGTTGTGAGATGATCATCCATGATGCAAATCTCCATTTCCTTCTTACTCCAAAGATGTTTGTTGAACATGGATCTGTTGACTGTGGAAGCCATAGGAATACAATGAACTCGTCATTTTCAAGAAACCAGTTTGACATGATTTAAGCTTTGTGCCATGGTGCATTATCCTGACGGAGGTAGTAAGAAGAGACTGGGTACACTCTGGTCATAAAAGGACGGACACGGTCAGTGAAAACTCTCAGAATGTCTCTGGCATTTAGAAAAGCTCAATTGATACAGCGTCTTCCACATTACACCATCATTAGCATGAAGCACTGAAACATGTCATGAGATCCATGTCTTCATCGAAGCTAAATTTTGACCCCACTAGCTAAATGTTGGAGCCAAAACAGTCTCACCAGGTCAGGTTTTATTTTGGCTAGGCTTAGCTTGCACTACACTTCAAATGACATTAAGTCATTATAAGTCCGTTTTAGCTGGTTGAGTGTCACCCAGGAATAGCACCACATGTTTGTGACTATGTAAATTGAAATCACCACCATCCTCTGCCCTTTTCCCCTCGAGTTTTTTTATTTTTTTTTTATTGCATGCCAATGGCACTACATTTTACTTTTCAGAATAAAGAAGCACTGTTAACATCATTTGACAGAATTATCAGGTCCTTTACCTGCCAAGTTCGCAGCTACATAACTTCACGAGCAGAATTAAACTAGTAGGCCATTTTAGATGAGATGAATATAAACTGGTCACTTTTAGAACATGGCAGAAACCTTCAGCAATCAGCGACGCTTCTGCTCTCACGCAGCTACTCTTCACTTAAACAAAAATAAATGTAGTAAGGCTTCATAGTTCTGAGCTGAAGTAAATTCTTTGCTGCAGTAATTTTCTCCCGTTGACTCATTTAACAACAGCTGGAATGACAGCTTGAATATTTGAAATTATTTACAGCTGACAAAAATATAAATGTAGGGCACGCAAACAGGAATGCTTTCAGCTTGAGCATATTCATAACACATTAGAGTAATGAGAAGGAAAATGGAAAACAATGTATAGTAAACCTTGTAATAATGCTTTGGTTGTGAAATCACAGCAGGCTTTGTTTGCTTCAGGAATGACAGAAGTTGTTTGGAGGCAGAGTTACCCAAGTCAACCTGAACAAATTGATTTGAGCAAACCACGTCGACACAGAAAAACTAGTTGGGTTACGTGTTTAACCAATATGCTGTTGATAAAGAAGGTAGGTAGTTTTAACCAAACAGTGGGTCAAAACATGATCAGTCTAAGCTGGTATCTGTACTCGGGATGAAAAAAAGCTATTGTAAAACATTCTATAATAAAACAAAGTAAAATTACAAAGAAATACTGGCTTGAAATATATCATTATGTATAATGAGATTACAGAAAATTGACATTTTGTGTGGACTTTTTAAATTCCACTGTATGTATGAATGTCAACAGCACGAGTGTGCACAGATGATAGCAGTATAAGAGCTTACAAAAACATAAAATAGCAAAAAAAAAAGATTCAACGAAGGAAATAATTCTAATCCCAACATTTATTAGTTTTACAGTTATGAAAAATAACTATAAAAAAGACTGGAAGCCCAAGATTATTTACAATCTTTTCTTTTTATGAATTGAGGTCCCTCTGAGTCAATTCCTCAGCCTTTTTTCTTTTTAAATCACAGGGTATTTATTCACGATATGTTTTAGTTTATAAGACATAGTCCTTTGCTTTGACAAAAACATCAAAAATTATATACGTACATACATACATATACACATACATACACATATATATATAGATAACTATAAAAGCCAAAATCATTCAAGTATCAAAATACAGACTGCTCTAGAATCATGTACATTTCCATTCTCAACATATCAGATTAGTTCCAAAAAAAAAAAAAAAAAAAGTCCCCTGATCCTTGGCAATGTGCAAAAGCAGCACTGGATCAGGCCAATGGCTAGCAGGTGCCCACACCGGGATGCTGAAGAGGGCGCACCAGTGTGTCGCCACACATACCACAGTTAAACCGTTAAGTACTCAGACTCACACTGATGCACCCAATAGTACCATTAACAGTCAACGTACAGGGAGTCACCTGGAAAAACATGTTGTACCCTATTGTTCTGTTCTGCAGCTTAAAAAATAAAAAAGTCGTACCAGCCTGCATGGCAGGTTTTGGTGAATAATCTTGGTAAGATTAAATTAAACAATGGGGGAAGGAAAAAGGTGAGTGCGCCAGTCATGATCCAGTTCCAGCATTAGGACACTATCAGTTCCATAAAATGAATAAAACCAACAAAATAAGAATCAAATCAAATAAAAGTGGGATTTCATTGAGAGATAAGTCTTTGTAGTGTTGGTTAAAATGTTTCTCCCATGCAGGAATATACTAGGCTGATGGTTATGGAGAGAAGCTCCGATATCTGAACACAAAGGGTAGTCTGTGCGTACAGTGTGAGGTCTCACTCTCTCAAAAAAAAGAAGAAAAAAAAAAGATCAATATTCTCACTTGTGCCACTTCTCCTTTCGCTACAGATTTCTGCATCGGTGCACACAGGTATGTTTTCTCAAACAGTGAACACCAAGTCTCTGTGAGGGAGGCTACAGCTTGTGAATGCATGGAGAGCAGAGACACTGCCACACTCTGATGGGCAGGAAGATGTGTGGAGAGGTCAGACGAAAAGGAGCAGAGCCTCTTCTTTGTCTTCGGGTCTCCATGTGTGCTGCGAGCATGATCGGACTGATGACGCGATGAGCTGCTGCTCATCACTTTTCGATCAAAAAACACACACAAAAAAAAAAACGCCAGCTCATCCCCATCATGCAACAGGGTTCATTCCCGTCCCATCTCGCTTAATGGGAGGAGCAGCGACATTCAGCTAAGAGAGGAGGGAGGGGCACGCAGACACATGCACACAATGTAAGATGATTAAAATGGAGTGAAAACAGAAAACACATGTTCACACAAACTGTTCCTCCCTTTATGTAATGCGTAACTTTTTTTTTTTTTTCCAGCAGCAATGTATTCAACAAGTATCATTGGCAATATTACAGAAAGGCAATGCAGACAGGATGAATACTGAAGGCATTTGTTGTGAAAAGAAGAAAAGAAGGGAGAGCTACACAGAGGAAATGCTGTTATTTTTATACAAAAAAAAAAAGGTAAAAGTGCTTAATTACTGTCAGTTCACTGTAGAAAAATCATCTGGCTGCACCCTTTTGCTCTGATTAGACAAATTAGAGCATAACAGTCCAAATATACAATACCTTGCAAAAGTATTCACACATAAGTTTAAAATATGGTCATCTTAAAACCTCAACGTCCAACGCCTTTTATAGACTTTTTCTCAACTAGCCTCACTACGGAGAAGCTTTTATTTTGGAGGTACAGGAAAGCTTGTTAGAGCTAACCTAAAGTGACAGGAAGTCAGTTGTAACTTTGGAGGAGTTGGACAGGTACACAGCCCAGGTGGGAGAATAATGTTAAATAGACAACTTTTATTAAGTTCTACTTGGAAGCAACATAGGGGACACAGCAAATGGCATATCAAAGAAAAATTCATAGATGGAGTTCATCCAATCTGAGTTTGAGCTACAATATAAAATCTTAATGCAAACACATGCAACTCTTTTCAGATTGTAAATAGGAAAAAAATTAAAAACATGCTACCTCTGATCAGTTATGCACAACTCTATATTGGTTTTTAACAAATAAATGCACAATAAAAAAACATTGAAGTTTGTTTTTGCAACTTAAAATGTGGAAAAAAAACAATTGCATGAGGTCAACACTTCTGCAAGGCACGTTGATTTGGACTTTTTGCTGTGTCATGTTCTCTTTCTAAGAACAAATCCCCTCTAAACGAGCTCCTCACAGTGCTACAAGAACTCAGCGTGGCTTTAAGCAAGCGGCTAATAGTAATAAACCTCCTAAACACTCGCACTCCCACGAAAGAGGAGCAGCCTGCTAAAGCCTGATGGATGCATAGAGTTAGGAGAGCAGATCCACAGTTTTCTTCTGGAAACATCCATCCGGGAATGGGATGAGCAAAGCGGGTGGGTTCTCAGATTTTTCTCAGCACTCAGTGAAGTCAAGAGATGGAAAGATCAGAGCGAAAAAGCTTCAGAGCGGCCGTCGCCTGATGCAGCGGGAAAGAAAGAGCTCATCACCGAGAGGAAAACAGTACATTTGCAGTCGAAGGGGAAAGAAAGGGAAGCGGTGAGTTAAAGGAGAATATGTTAGTGCCAGACTTGTTGAGTGATTGCGATAATCAATGCAGAGTGTAGAAGTGGTGAAGGTTCAACTTGGAGAAGGAGCAACAGAGGCTGGTTAGCTGTCACAGGCTGTGTTGTCAGGAGGTGAGGGGAAGTGGACGTCCAGCGCAAAGGAAAGGGCTGAGTCACAGTGAAAGGCACACAGGAGGAGGGAAGTAGGAACAGCCAGGCCAAGGAAGGAGGAGGACGAGGAGGAGAACGGGGGGTCCGGTTAGAAAATGGTGGTCTCATACTTAGTGCTGATTGAGCGTTTAGATTCCTTTGGATCCACGAGCCACGTGGCAGCGGTGTG